CAGCAGATCATGAATTAAATTAGTTAATTTAAAAATAAAATAAAGCAATACAAAAATATATTCAATTCTTTGTACATGCATGCATGTATGCAAGCATTATATTACAAAATCAGAATTAAATGTCAGTATTTTTAAAACTTTCTTAGAATAGATAGTTAAACGAAAATTAACTGACATTAATTATTGGTATTGTAATAAATCAGTAAAAAATATACAAAATTAAATTATTTTTTCCTCATGCTCGTCAAGTACAATACTAGGGCAGCTTGAGAATTCTTTCTCTACAGTTTTTGGCCTACACAGGCTAAGCTACATATATGTCCATCATTTATACATAACTATTATATATCACAGGCTTGCCACACTCATACTTACTCAGATGCCAAATATGCCCTAAATACTGGAGTAAGAAACGTAAAAGAGAGCATAAAAAAATGCGTAAAAAAGAATTGGATATTGTACCTTTTTATCCTTGTGTTAATATATTCTTTTTTTTGCCTTCAGACAGTGTGTTTTGACTTACATCCTGACATTTCTGTTTGGAAGATTATAAATGGGTTAATGGTACTGGAATTGTCATTGGACTCAGCTTCACACGCTGGTATAACCGCAAAATTGAGAGAATGCTTTATAATGCCTTTGAATATGGTTCCTGTTCTGGACCTGATATTCTGTGGAAACAGATAATTTACTGCGAGGATGTTATCAATAACTGAGACAAGTTTTCAAGACGAAATCTGACTATGGCACTTATCACGTTGTTGTAGGGAACCACAGAATCGGAAAGACCACAATAGTCCAGAAGTGTGCTAAGAAAGTTGGAAAAGGGGTCATTTATGTTGATGTCCCCCCTGTATTAAATAAATTTGTTGAAAATTTTGCAAATTCTATTGGATTTCATGAGCATTGTAGCTTTATTGAATTATTTTGGCAGAAGTTTCTAGGAATTAGCAATTCTAGTAAGGTTAATTGTATAGAAGTACTGGTATTTGCTCTGTACTTACTTCTTATATTATAGCTCCACAGTTCCCATTTCTTCGTGTCCTGAATGCCTTTGAAAGAGAAGTTAAAAATTACAAGGCAAATAATGATGGCAAACCACCAATGTTAATCCTCGACAACATAAGTAAGCTGGTCCAGAAAAATGTGGAAATGATAGAGGATCTGCAGGATCTCGCAAACTCTATGCTGACCAGTCCAGTTGTATCATTGTGTTTGTCAGTAGTGAGGGAATAGTGCCACATATGATGATGCATAAGTATTATATGAAATGATTTATCTGTATCTCATTTCTTGCTAATGGCTTCTTTGCTCTATTCTAAAATGATCATCTTAGTCACGCACTGATAAACAAACCATTTTCATCAGAGATCTAACCGACGAAGAGATACTCACTTACCTCTGCAAACTTAACATTGAGGAAAAGAACGCCAATTAACTCATCGAACTCTTAGGTGACCGGATTAAGGATCTCAAGACATATGGTTATTGGATAAAAGAAGGCATGACATTGAAAGATAAGAGTATTTACTATCTAAACAATAATAATGGTAATTTGCATTAACTTTGCATGAACGTTCTCATCACACTTAAATATTTGCTTTTAGAGGTTCATAAAATAGTATTCTATTCTATCGAAAATAACTTTCATCAGGCTCAAATAATGAAGAGTGAAGTAAATCATGCCATTGGCAATGTCATTGTTGAGAAGTTGGTAAAAAATGAAAAAATCGAGTATGATGAATTCATTAAGCTCGTCAACAACAAAGAAATAGCCGATAAACTGATACAAGCCAATGTTTTTTCATATAATCTGGAAAACAATTTCATCACCTTCCAGTCTCGCATAAAGAAATTTTTGTGAAAGAAAATCTGAGAGGAGTTTTCTTTTACTCAAAGCAATGATAGTTATCAAATAAAATTTACTTGAATTTGTATATACCCGCATTTTATATGTATCAATTGCTATTTCTGGTAATGATTTTGTATACCCCATTCATTTTACATGTACGTAATAATAAAATCTAATTTGAGATACAAAATAAATGGGTCACGTGATGACAGAGTTTTCTTTCAGCTATAATTCTGGATATCATACCTAGAAATCAGGATTATTTTGAGTAAGATTAATCAGGTTATTTTATATAGCCATTTCGAAGGCTAAAGATCACAAATCAACCATTCGATAAGGTAATTGTCATTTTTCTTATTCTTGTTTGTTAAAAGGATCTATTCTTTTGATAACTAATATTTCCTGCTTCTTTATAGATACATTTAACTTGTGTTTTTTAAATATTTTCGTAAAGTTGAAACATCTGTTGACACTTTATATTTTGTAGAGCACTTCTTGCAAACATTATATCCTGGTAAATTTGATGAATTTCTGTCAAAATGCTTTTATACAGAACTTTTTTTAGGAGTAGAGTTACGAGAAGGTTGGCTAATGAATTCATCTTCAAAGTCAGTCATTTCTAGGTCATCATCATTAGTTCTGAACATATTATCCATGATGAAAATAATTTTTTTTTTAATTAAAAAACATTAGATATCCCTAATACGAAGGCTAGCAAAAAGTTAAATCTTATTTTGATGGTTTAATGGTTTAGAAAAAAGAGAAAAAAAAACTTTTTTCTGATTTTTCTAATTATCTATTTGATAATAGAAGTACAAATTTTCCAATAATCAGATGACGAATTGGTTTATTAAAATGAAACCAGTTTGTCAAAAATAACTGATTATAAACTCAGTTTAGAACCAGTTTTCTAAAAGTTCCAAAAATTAGAATTAGCACTAATTGAACTAAGGTTCTAAACCGAGGTTGAACTGGTTAATTAATGAATCACCTTATCTTTATCTGCAAATGAAGAAAAGTTAGAAAAATTTTGTCCATTTGTTATCAAATTGTTAATTATGATACATTTTTTCAAAATTTTATATAATTTTTGAACTAATTTGAGGTGAATATATGTATCTCTTAACAATTTAAGATAAATATCTTTTTGATGTGCAGAAGAGTATTTATGTGGGACAGTTTTCATAGTTGCATCATTATATATTTTTGAAGTTGATTTCAGATAAAATTAAGCTTAGGTTTCTAATCGAAATTAATTAGGTCTATGTATACCAATGGTAATTTTTCTAAATATTTATCAGTTTTATTACTGAATTTGATCTATTAGTTATTATTCATATTATTAAAAATTGAAGGTCAGTTTTTTGATAATAATGGCTAATTTAAATACTGGTGAAAGGTATTAGGGTGAAGTTTAATTTGTATGATCTTATGATTTGAATAAGTTGAGTCAACTGAAAGAATTATATGTTGATGAAAATTGAAAATAAGATCTATGAAAAAAAATATGATCCATTATTAATGACGAATGATTTTCTTTAAATGTGAATAGATCGCTCTTATTAATTTTTGAGGATAGTAACAAGAGAGTATTAGTTAAATTGAGGTTATCTAGAAATTATTAGTAAATTTAATATTCTATTTTTTAGAAGATTCTGTGTTCAGATCTCTAAGAAGAATAATTAATATATTAAGATTGTTTAATTTCATAATAAGTTGTATAACTTTAGAAAAAAATTTTTCCATAAAATGTCATTGGATGTAGGAGTATAGAGGTTGATAATTTATAAATGATTTTTGTTTTTAAATTGAAAGTCAATTGATTGATAACGTTTTTGGATAGAAACATGTTTGTAAATATAATCAACGTAAGATTTTTTGATAATTAGACTATTATCATAACCAATTTTTTGTCTATTATTTTGTGTATTAAATAATAAAATATTGAGTAGAAGATTGAACATATGAAACTTTTGAGATGTAAAGGGAATAGAAATTCATTTTTTAAAGAGCAATAATATCGAAATAATATATTTGAAAAAGATTGAAAAAATATTATTATTTGCTTTTGTCAGTAAATGATCTGACGTTTAGTGTTTCAATATTAATGTTCATCATTTAAAAAATTCTTGGATAGGTAGAATAATATTTCTTTCATCATTGCAAAAGATTACATCTAGTTCAATAAGAATTAGAATAGTATAGTTGTCATAACTCTTGTTTTACAAATGTATAGCATTTTTGACTTTGATAAGCTTCAACATAGCTTGTATCTTTTTGATCGTTTTTGCCACTTATTATCAAGAGGATTTGTTTAATTTTTAATTGCTGAGAATCTTTTCCTTCATATTGAGTGATAATTTCCTTCAATAATTTCCTTTTAATGTTATTGTAGTCTAAGTTATTCTTTATCTTTCTTAAATTAATATACTTTTTCTCTTTAATTCTTATTATTCTTAACATTAATTTTTTATTTATCTCTTCCGTTTATATCTTCCAAATGTTATTTCCGAATGTTATTTCTGAATATTACTTCTGAATGTTTCTTCCGAATGTGTTTTCCAAATATCTTCTGAATATTATTTCTGAATATTACTTCTGAATATTTTCTGAATATTACTTCTCCTTTTTATCTTCTAATATTTTCTTTAATTCTTTATTTACTTCCTTCGTATTATTGTGTTTAAATATTCTTTAACTTTCTGTTATATTTTTATTATTCCTTTTAAGTTTTATTTTGACATTACTTCATTAATATTTTTCTAAAATTATAGTTTATATACAAGCAAAATGACTTTATTATTTCCATAATTTATTGTTCAACAATTAATTATTCTGAACAAAAGTATTACTTTTTATTTGTGTTAAAAGTTTATTCATTAAATTAATTTTTTTTTTTATTTTTGAGAAATTGAATGATTTGGTTCTTTGAGGGAATCCTAAGCCTTTATATAATAAAATTCACTTCGTAATATTCATTACATGAATTTTACTACATGATTTTCTATTGCATGATTTCTACTTTTACTACAGTACCCTCCAAAAGTAATGGCGGTAGGGATGATACTTAATTTTTAAATTGTAATATCTCTATTATTCTGATTT